GTGCATAGTTTTAGTCAAGCACCATTTTGGTGGGGTCAATGTGAGCTCGGAAAGGTTGAACCTAGGTTCGACTGAGTCGCACGGGTTGCATTGAAAACATGTGTCAAGGGTTAGTAAGAAGGTTAAATTCTCCATCGGATGCAAGACCCGATAAATTCGGATACGTACTTCCGTTTGTATCGAGTCCATAAAGTGTGTTAGAGTTCGCGAAACCGTTGGTCGAAGTCCATAGATACCGTGTAGGTGAGGTACCCATTGGTGGAAATCCATAAATATCCATTCCAAGAAAGGCACAAGATTTTATAAAATGGTCATTATATATTTAACATCAATGGCTGGAGCTTAGAATGTCTGGATGCATGCACATGATATAACGTATTATGAGAGCCAGTGAAGGGCTCGGGTTTGCATTGTATGCATGAGTTTCATCTCAATGCATGACATGGATTAGTAACATTCATTTGAGAAATGAATTTATTTGAATGGATGCTTGATTTGTTTGATTGTATGTGATATTTCATATACATCTGGATTGGATAGTAACCTCATTAGGAGATACCCTATTGAACGTGACTCACTTTTTATGGGAACATATTTCAGGTGTTGAACAAGTGTCGATGGACGGCCTTCACTTGGGCCCTTGTTGATAGAGGAGTAGGAATGTGGCTTTTGAATTGCATTTTGTAAATTAATTATGTAATTTGTTGTGGACTTGTAAATTGGGTAAGAGGGACGTGCAATGAACTCTGGGACAATGTTTTTGATGTAAATGAATGAATGGATGAATATGGTATGAGTTAGGATGAATATGGTATGAGTTAGGATAAAGATAAATTGAAAATTAGAAGGATTGGAAAAAATCTAGGCTTAGGTACTGATACCTAGGTTCACAGGTACTGGTATCACGCTGTTGGATGATCCAGGTACCAGTTCCTTGGCTTACAAGTACCAGTACCTAAATTTTAATGGGCTCAGGTTCCGATACCAAGACACATAAGTACTGGTTCCTAGCAAACAGTGGACTTAGGTACTGGTACCAAGACACATAGGTATCAGTACTTAGAAAACAGAAGGCTCATGTACCTGTACTACGTATCACAGGTACCGGTACCTCCTCCTAAAACTTGAAATTTTAAAATGTAACACTGAAGGGCATTCACATCTTGAACGCTCTTTTTGGATGATGTAAATGGAGAATAATAAGACCTAATTATTGGGGTTTGGGCCTTGAAATGGTCATGTAATTAATATATGTATATGTTACGTGTAGGGTAGTACTCCGGTACAAAGGAGACTCTACCCAAATTCTGTTGTGGTTATGATATCGGTGAATGGGGTGTACCAACGTGGTATTGAATTATACGGTATTCACAGGTATTTCCGTGGGTTGATGGGTGACAACAGGCTGAGAAAAGACCCCTGAATTTTGGGGTGTCACACACAGAACAAAAGACCTCGAAAGTCAGATGCCAAAGTTGCTTCACGCATCGGAGTCAAGGAAAATAGTTAATTTGAAGTATGTATCCATGGGATAATATCCACATGTAACAGCAGAATATGGCTTTACATATAGACAGCAAGGCATCATCAAGAGATCTAACAAAAGCTTACTGAAGGCTATATGCACAAGCCCAAGCAGTAGAAATATATGCATGTTGCCTTCTTAGTCCAGTATGCATCTTTGAGATAATCGGGTCTTCGCATGTTGTCAAACAACTTCAAATTTTTGAACACATTTTTCATGGGGTACGATGGGCAATATGGGATTAAAAGAGTTTATAAAAACATAAAAGAACGATGCAACTCTCACGCATTCCCTCTTGAATTTGATATCAGCTCATATTAGGACAAAAGGGCTTGTTTGGCGAACCTTACAACCAGGTCAGCTAAGGATATGACTAGCATTTCTAGTTAATCCGTGTCTAATTTTCTTTGAGTTCGCTCAAATTCACTTAGAATACAAGGCAAATCGCTAGTCTGTTTGAATACTGAATGTTGCTTTCCCAATGAACCAAATGACCAAATGAGTCAGGACCTGGACTTAACAAAGGAGATTCCTAAACAGCTGCGAAATTGAAAGCTTGTCTGCTAATTTAACAAAAAACAACTAATATCTTATATGAAGTTCTTTACACTTAAAATTTTCTTTTTACCATGATCAATGAATCTACAAGTAACAAAGGGCTTGCATCACAAGACTGTAACAGTACAATTGAACCAGCCACTCTCCATCAACTGGAAAGAATATTCAATACAATGGTGATACCATGTCAGCATTGATGACATGGTATCACCAACCAATAATAAAATCTCAAATGGGCAACGTGAACCCTACCTGAGTAGTTATTGACTTATATGGAAGAAAAGTGGGTAGTTATCTGCTTACATGGACCGATAGTTATTGGTTTTGGGGAGGCGGGTGACTTCCTTATTTGGCTGCATATTATTGGTTGGTGATACCATATGGCAAAGCTGACGTGGTATCACTGTTGCAATGCATATTTTTTCAAAACAAATATGAGGGTTTTTTTTTTTTTTTTTTTGTGGAGGGGGGGGGGGGGTGGATGATGGTGAAGAAGTATGAGACAAAATTGGCAATGCTATCAAAAATAAACGCCATAAGAAGATCAAACCTTTCAGGGCATCCCCGCTCTCATTCCCGTAGAAAATCCCACTGATACAACATCTTTTAAAGATCATTTTATTTTCAGTAAGCGTTCCAGTTTTGTCAGTCAAAATATACTCAACTTGCCCCAAATCCTCACTAATTGCTGTGCTGCCATATGTAACAAACACAGCTTAGATAAACAGGTATATATCATCTGGGTGTGCAGAAAGCCACGGGCAAATTTCACATCTCTTAACTTTGTTGCATGGGATCGGGTGCTAGTCTCCAGGTCAATCATTTCATTGTCCCAATCAATGAACTTTGCATACAAGCTTTTCACAAGATCCAAAGATACCTGCCACAGAAAAGAAGCACAATAAGGCTACTAAAACAGGGTTTACAATGTAGAAATGCTAGATGTTTGGGGCTGGAAAGAGATGATAAGTGTCACGGTTACAGAGCGGGTAGATCAAAGGAAATTCAAAAAATTGTGTTGGAATTTATAGACAAAGTAATTTGTTGTTTCTATCAATTCATGGCCACAATAAAGAATCAGTGAGCTAACTTTCATTAGGGCTTGCTACTGTGGAATTTGTACAGATTGAGGGCTGTGAATATCAGTTTGTGAGTGGGGAGAAATAGGAGGAACTAGCTTTAACTTCTCTAGGCAGTCATACCAAAGACCTAGGATCAAATCCCACATAAGGAGAGGGTGACAACCCATTGGGAAGAGGAAGGAGATGAATCAAGGAATCTTACCTAAGATCTCTATGCTTCACTCCCCAAATTGTTAGGCAACATCACACAAACATAATTTCAAATCATTAACTCAAATCTTATTATCAGGTTATGGCTGTTAGTCTTCTTGTTTCTACTAGGACTAAGACTCAAAAATACTAAACTTTGATTATTTGACTACCACCACTAAAGACCACAGAAGATTCTAAGCAATATAATTTGACCTAAAATACAACCCACAGACCTTATTGCAACAACACACACCCAGCCACTATGAAAACTTAAAAGACAACTTTAGTTTCTAGATTTAATAAACAATCAATCAACCTGACCAAGAAGTTAGCAACATAAAACAAATATCAAACCACACTAGATATGACCCAAACATAGTTAAGTGAGGTCTTAATCATGCTCCATGTGAACCAAATTCGCCCTCTATTTGTCAGCGTGCTCTACATCATTAGCCTTTCTCTAATGCGAGTAATAAGTATAAGGCATCATCTTCCATGCACCGTACAACAGATTCTATTTTAACCGTCGCTAAGGAAAATAGAGCCCGCGATAGCCTCCTTTTGTGGGAATACTACCTACGATACTCATTAGCCTTTTAATCCGGGCTTACAGAATCCAGAATGAACCACCCCTTCCAAATGGAAATCTTATTTTAAACTCAAACAATTCTAAGCAAACAAAATATTCTTAGAGCAAACATGTATCATTTAGCACTGCTTGTAAAGCATGGACTTTGTAACTTAATTAGCTAACGGCGGCACAGACATCCCCAACTAGATTTCTTTGATTCCACCATATATTGTATGGGAAGCCAAAATATTCAAAACCCAAAAACAAATAAAACCATGTTCAGGGTCGCAATGACACACTGCAGGCAAAGCTGATAAGTAATGTGATACACATATGATTACCTTTATAGATATGGGTATCATTATGGAACAAAGAAGCTCAAACCGTAAAGGGATGACCAATACTTCATACCAAGGACCTTCATTTGGATATTCCACATACCATTGCTACAAAAGAAAAATACAAAAGAAGTAGGTATCATTTGAAAAGACCACAATGCAGCACATAAAGGGCAAGAATAAATTTTATTACAGAGAAATTCAACGTAAGTTTATGCAACAATACGAAAATAGTAGCAACTATGGAGCATAGAATAAGACTGGTAACAATTATCAGGAAAAAGGTTGGGAACTCTATCAAAAGAAAGAAAAATTTGGAGAATGAGAAAAACAAAAGATTCACCAAAGTTTATAGCATATTAGAGTGTTTCAATTTTACAGAGAAAGTTTAATGCAATAATGGCCATTGTTCAACTAATGAGGAAATGTCCTGCTTGCCATTTAGAACATGACAAAACCTCCCGGACACGTGCAGTCCCCTCAACTTACATGCACTGAGGACTAGCGGAACAAATTCCATTGGATGGCCCTAAGGGTTTAAAACTGTGTACTCCCCTCAACTTATACGCACCAAGGACAAGCGGAACAAATTCCATTGGATGGCCCTAAGGGTTGAAAACTGTGTACTCCCCTCTCACGTTATTATATTCACATATTTCCTATATCTCCCATCATTGTAAAATATTATTTTTATCTATCAAGATGAATTAGGCAGCATGTATAATTCTCAATTCTAAACAGACCAGGCCAAGATCACTTCACCCAAGCCTTCGATGAAAATCAATTGCAAGTACTGGCCAGCGAGTCCCCTGAGCCTAGACAAAAATCTCAAGCACCAATGAGTGCCCGAGCTGATCATGCTAGCCAGCTAAATGGCCACACCTACTGGTTAGCCTCCTTGGCATGTAATCAAAAGATCTCAAAGTGCCACTCATAACTTCGCCAAAATTGCATTCACTACTTATTCTCTCAATTTTGTAAATTAGTCTTTCATCTCTTTTATTCATATCAATTAAAAACATTCTTCCTACCCAACACGGATAAGATCGCTCTGTTGTGACCTGGGCGCAATGGGTCCGAGTAGTGAGAAACAAAAACACTATACTGAATAAGATAAAGGGTAAGACTGCATATATCTGTCACTCCATATACCCCATAGTGATAGAAGCCTCGTGCAATGAGCTATCATTTAGCATTCTCCAGACACGTTTCTTATTTGCTCAACTCTATGTCATAAAGCATGGCAGATCTTGAACAACATCACTTCAACTTGACAAAAAACTCCACTATCACACGTGTTTTCATCCATTCCACTGTGAAATCATGGGCAAGATCCTCAATCTCCCATTCTTACGTGTACTCAATCCAAACAAAAGGCAGGTATTCCTTCATCTCTTGGCCATCAAATCTTAGTATGTCTTCTTTCCTACTTTTAAGTTACTTAGATTACAATTTGTATACTCTTAGATATTGCTATATTAAAACCTCCACACTCTAGGGTCTCTCTCTAAGATCCTCACCATAAATTGACACATGCTCAAGACATATATGAATCAACACATCACAAATGAAAACAAGAGAGCTGAAAAAATATGGTCATTTTATAAGCCACACAAAGCTCTCCAACTTGGAACAATGCTAAAAACGGGAACATCCTCAAACTATTTGGTAACCAAGGCCCAAAAGGATGCTAAAAGTAGATTTCATCCCATAATCCTTTCACAATTCACATTTATCTTCAAAAATGTCTTGAATTCCTCTCCAACCAAATAAGTCAAACAGTGGTTAGAAAGACAGAACCCATATAGTACTACCTCTTCGACTTCCTCCAAAGCCCTTGAAGTCCATACTAAGCATAGATGGTGGTTTAACAGAAAGAACGGCTTCTCCTCAAAGCTGCTAGGAAGAGAGCAAAGTAGAGCAGTAGAGAAGACAGATTTTTTTTTTCATCAGGGCATAAGGACTTGACTGTAAAATACAATAACGATTCGACAACAAATCCATGTGCTCAACCTGTATTGATATGCCCAGTTCCACTTATAGGCTTTGATTACACTCCTATTTGCATAGACCAATGATGCGAAATACAAACCCAAAAAAACCCACGCGAAATGATAATAACTTTCTTTTATCAGGTTACAATGTCATCTCCAAGGAAAATGAACAGATATCAGTATCCACTCCCACCTCATGCGTGCAGTTCCAGTGTTAACGCAATCTTTAAGATGGGTAGACCCAATAGATACCATTATCATGCCCCAAGTTTCTTTTAAGTAAGCATTAGCATTGAATTGGTATAAATATAATTCCCTCCCTGGTTGATTCATATGAAATTAAAATGGTCCCAAAACCTGAGGCAAAATGTAATGGAAGCGACAATGACGTCTTACTAGCATGGAGCCTAAGGTCATCTTCCTACAGGTGATCATATGGTTAATTCTTGTGAGAGCCATAACAATGGCCTATCTATACTAAATTTTCATCCTCAATCACAATCATCTTCCAATTATTGAAGGATGAGCCACCAGTCACTGAACATAAGCAGTAACCAAACCCTTGCAAGAATGAATAAGCAAGACACAACTTAATTGAGTAAAAGCCTGACGGTGAAAGGAAATTCTTATAATTCAAAAGTTAAAACGTAGATGAGACCATTACAAATACAAAAAAAAACATAGATGTATTTTACCAAGCTCCTAGAAAGTTTGTCACATAGAAAAGACAAATTTGCAGACCGAGACAAACCTTTCTTGCTTCTGTATCTTTCCAGACATTCCCAGCTATGCCTAGAACAATAACCACAACTATCTGAAAAACAAATATTGCTCCCGTTAACTTGTCAATCATGGCATCCACAGCTGTAAGTTTTGGTTCAGGTATACCCCTACTCATACCCAGCTTCGTTTCATTGCCTGAAAACAAGACAGAGAGAAGATACAAGGCTCACCAATCATTGTAGCTGATCCCATTGCAAGCCTCCTAAAAGACTATAAAAATCGTTCTATCTGATCTCATAGCCAGATTACTAAATCAATAAGGGTAAGTTTGGTCAATAATATGGCAAGCCCCTGCCATTCCAATAATAATAGCACCAGGAACACTTGAGTTTTACAATTGTAAATCACGGATAAGGGTTCAAATGAACCAAACTGAGACAAGTATAGGCTGTTCAAGCTCCGATTATCTATTTTTAAAAGATTTTTGAGACAGGTTGAAGCTCGTGACGAGCCACCGAATAACTCGATCAAACTAGGCTCGTGTAATATATATTAAAATTTGGGCCGGGCTCGGCTCTCCTTGCCTCAATCTTATATATATTAAAGTCACCACCAAATTCCAATAATATATCCCACCAAACATTTCTTATGAAAATAGGCACCACAAAGTGCGTGGATTGTCCAGTATTGAACAGGACACAACAAGAACATGGGTATGGGAAAAATATATCCAACTTGCAAATTGCCATTTGCCGAGCATATATCCCCGTAAGTATTTTACAACAAACGAGAGCAGATCATACTCAGTCGTTAGGTTTTCATGGTTGTTTTCTTAGTGTAATTCAGTTCAACATAACTTTTTAGTGCTCACAACAGAAACAACAGGATACAAAGGGAGGGAGGGAAAAAATTAAAAGGCATTTCAAGGTAAATGAGTGATGATTTATGATATTGATTGACTAGTCGGCAATTAGAGACTTGCCTGTATAAACAGAAACACCACAAGCCCACTCTGTATTCCTCAAGTAGCATGATTGAAGAACTGTATTTTTGACAGTTAATGGGCAAACATCATTATCAAGAAATGGAGGAAACAACCTTATATTTGCATCAAACCTCCTGATGTCCTTATCTGGATTGGGACACTCAATTACACCCTGCCAAAGGAAGAATGAAAACAAATACTAACCATAAGCAAAATTTGAATACAATACTAAATCATCGGCCCATGAATAAGAACTATAAAAATCTTGCCTTGATCTTGTGCAATAATTCAAAATCCATTCCCATGCAAGCAGAGGGTATCAACCTTGTCTTAAGATCAGTTTCACCATCAAGAGCAGCTGTCTGCAAAGTATGTCATATCACTAAAAGTACTTAACACGAGAGTAAATAAAAGCATATTTAATGTATCTTGGAATCATATGCAAAGTATGACAGCGACGTAGTACTATATAAGCAAAGGTTTTGAACGTGGAAAAATTAAGTTTCCATAAAATAATGAGATGGCACTTTATCATGGAGAATAACAGGCTCCATTTATCCAGCAGAATAACATGAAGTAACATATTTACCTCTACATAGCAAAGACCTTGCGGATCAGAGGTACCAATCAAGACAAGATCACAGGGCACTTCATCATTCTCACGAAGCCACACTATGTTACCAACAAGAATGTCTTGGGCTTGAATCTACAAGTGAATATCACCAAAGATGCAACATAATCAAATGCAAGTTAGCTTCAGAAGGTTTTTCGCAACAAAGAAATAAGTTAAACGAAATAAAAGATGGATGCTAATTTCAAAAAGCCACAGAAGGGGGAAAATGGTTGAGATGCATTTTCCATACATGTTTTTTGACACCCTGCCTTACAACCCATACTTCTTTCTCATTTCCTTTCTTGTCTGAAAGATATCTATGGTAATCGTCCCATGCCTCTTTTGATGCTGAGACTGCAAATATTAAAATGAGTGGACCCCAAGTGGTTGCCGGATTAACTGGAGTAATAAGTGACCATAGTTGTAGGCAAGCAATCAACAAAAAGTACTGATTCATAAATCGGCTGGAAACAGAAGAGGAATTTGTTAGAGAGAACATAAAAGAGAAGCACAAAGCGGCTTTCTCTTTACTGGAATAATAAGAGACTGGAGACACTCTTGAAATAGAGTAACAGTAAAAAATGTCATTCTACATTTATATTTCATACAGAATCAAATTTAAAAGATATCTCGAGTGTCCGTTAATCGACCAGGAGGGATAATTTTTGGCATGTTATGAAGGTAAATTTCTCAAGAAATATTCAGGATAGTCACTTCACCTTTGTCATATATTCCATGCATCACACTAGATAGATATCATATTCATGGAACATGGTCATAAGTAATCGCATGGGTTTAATTAACCATAGGTGGGCAATATGGGAAATGAACAAGGGCCAAAACCCTCTACACTCATAATCTATTGCATTCCGAACATCCTTCACCCTATATCTTGGGACTCGGCTCCCAACAGACGGAATTATAGGTCTGGCTCCTCTTGTGTAAGCTGCATTTTAATATACCAGGAAACACACACATCTAACACAGCTGGAACAAAGATGGAAAAAAAGTAGGAACCCACAAATGGGTACACCCATGTAGTAGATCAATTGGACAAAAATTTGGGCTCTCACTCTTTTCTTTTGACTAAATGCAGAAGTCAAATCATAATAATTTATAAATTTGCAGTAAGAGTACATCAAATTCTACATGTTTACTCACCACAATCTTAAACAGCACTTCCAAAATATATTTACATATATATAGTGTATTTGAATAATTAAAGATGTACCTGAACTGTTCCCATAAATTTTTGGGAAGAAAGTTCAGTAAGGTATATTTTCTGTTAGATATGCGGTTGTCACAGTAAAGCTCCTGTGATAGATCATCATCATTGATGTAAACATATCGCTTCATTGTTGACTTATATGTAAGCGATCATGTGTGACGTATTCCGTCCAAGTTTAATGTGGAGCTGAACAGCATTATCAGCCACAACAAAAGGAGTTCAGAGAGGCCTCATATCCTGCAATACATTACAAGAATAACAATGCTAGGTTTTGAGATTTAGAATTATATTTTTCAGCCATAAGTCAAAAGGCTTGCAAAAGCATAATCAACAGACATAACAAAGGACCCAATATTGCGATCCTTTTTTGTTAAGAAACAGCATATTATTAATAATGATTAACAAGTCGTTAATACAAATAGAAAAAGGTGGATCATCCTACTGGGAAAAAGCAAAAGAAAGAAACACATATGAAAACTTATGAAAAATGGCAACCTATAAACCATATGAAACTGTCCATCAAGCCAGAATGCAGAAAAGAGGGATGTTCATAATATTCCCACACTAACAACAATGTATTTATGTGTTTGCAAATGCTCAATAACACAGGTAGCACTGTAACAACTTTATCTATATATATTTAATAAGAAACAAAACATTGTATTAATCATAATAATAATAAGTACAACAATCAAAAAGAGTGGACAAGATGTCCAAGCTCAAACAACAAAAAACAAAAAATAAAGATAGCAGTCTCTATCCTCTGCTCTATCATTTGAAAGAAGACTATAAATCTCATAAGGCTCTCCCTCCGGCCAAAATTCCAAACAGTGAAATGCCCTCAAAATCTTTAGTAATTGACACCCAAAACAATGTCAAAAAGAAAATACCATAAACCTTCCACCTCCTCACACTTTTCCTCAAAAAATCCGAGCATTCCTTTCCAACCAAAACACCCACATCATTACAAGGACAGCACAATTCTATAGTGAAACTCCTTTACCATGTCCTCCAAACCCTTTCAAATCGTCCACAAATAAGGAAGAGAAAGATTCAGGACTAAACCAGCTCAACACAGTCAATGAAAACAACATATTCCACAAAGTTAAATCAATAGGGCAATGCAAAAACAAATGATTAACAATTTCAGTGTCGGCACGGCACATTACACACCATTGCGGAGAGAGACAAATTTGAGGTCTCCTCCTTTTAAGCATATCATTAGTGTTAATCTTACCATGACCAATAGTCCATGCACAACCTTTCACCTTGAAGAAGAAGATGACCAAACAATCTAAAGAATTTTCTCATTACCATACAAAAGTATGATTACATCAAGTATTTATACACAGTGCTAAAACTGATCTAAGCTAATTACAATTAGTTATAACTATAGTTAAATGTAACTAACTTAGTAACACATGTGATCTATAACAGACTAGTGTAACAGTCTTGAGCAAGTGGCAGGATTCTGAAGTGTACTGCTGATATGCTTCAGAGTTGATGCAGCTGCATAAGGAACCTTAGTGTTGAGCTGAGCTGAGCTGGAGGAGCTGCAGAAGGAGCTACTGTGCTAATACCTCCCCGCAAACAAACGGGGGGATCACCAAACATGAGTTTGTCACGTAGAAGAAGAGAGGCCTTTAGTGAAGACATCAGCTAGTTGATCAGTGGTGATCACATATTGAACTTCTAGATCTTTCTTAAGCACTTTCTCTTGAATGAAATGATAGTCAATTTCTATGTGCTAGGTTCTAGAAAGGAACACAGGATTGGAAGCCAAAGCTAGAATAGAAACATTATCACACCAAAATGTAGGAGGCTGAGAAATAAAGCTGTGAAGATCTTTGAGAAGCATCCTGAACCATGCTAATTCTACAGCAATAGTAGCTAGGGACTTGTATTTAGACTCAATGCAAGACCTAGTGATCTACATCACCTAGCTATAGTTGTTTGTTTCTTGGCTCCCCAATGAATAGGATTGGAACCAAGGAAGATAATAAAACCAGAACTAGACCTCCTATCAGTGGAATCTCCAGCCCCGTCAGCATCAGTGAAGGTTGAAAGATGCAAAGAGCTGGGAGTATATGTAAGATCAAGAGAACTAATGCCTTTTAAGTACCTTACTCTTGACAGCAGAGAAATGACAGCCGTGAATTAACAAACTTGGTGGACAGCAAAGGCTTTATCTGATCTTGTGAATGTAAGGTATTGGAGTGCCCCAACCAAACTCCTATAAAGAGTGGGATCTGGTAACGGAGTGCCCTCAGTCTTGCAGAGTCTGCTAGATGCTGGACAAGGAGTCTTGCAAGGTTTGCAGTCAGCCATATTTGCTCTTTGGAAAAGATCATGAACATATTTATGCTGAGAAAGAAAGAGACCCTAGGGTAGATATTAGATTTCGAGGCCAA